CATCGAATACCTCTGGGCCATACTCGAAGGGCAAGTTAAGAAACAACCAAAAAAACCAACTTCGAAGAGCGATCAACTCCAAGTTTTGAAGCAAGAGTGGGCTAAAATCCCACAATCAAAAACTGACGAGGTGATTCTCACGATGCCCCAAAGGATCAATGAACTCCAAGAAGCGAAATGAAGATCTACTAGTTATTAATTAATTTATAAATATATCAATTCATGAAAGTATGACTGAAAATTTTCATTTTTTTTCTGAAAAGGTGGTGTCTATTTACTTGTGACCACGCTGTGTATGTATACCACAAGTCAAACTTGTTTTTTTCTCTAATATAATTACTTATAAGAATTTATATAAACACTATCGAAGTTAATTGTTTTTAATTATAATTTCTTAAATGGAGAAACAATTAGAGAACCTTCTCTGGATATGTTATTCAGAACAAAAACCCTCATCAATTATTATTATTAACAATTCACATTGCAAACCGGGTTTCGATACCAATGATGGCCAGAGCATAGATACCCCATTGCGAACAGTCATGTACACATTTCACTTTTAATTTTAGAAACCTCTATACTCATAAACCTACAGACAAGTATCCAAATTTACATGCATTTCATGTTTACTTACCATAATGTTGGATAGATTTTTTTCTTGGCAAGGTCTCCCTGAAAAAGCAAAATGTGTAGGTAGGTACATTATACACGATTATATAAACAAAATGTGAAAACAAAAGCAATAAAACAAACAGCCATTCAAATCAAACTAGTACCCAATGTTCAGAATTTTAGAATTATTAGCTATGATTTCTGGTTAAATAATGACAAACTTAGATGTAAACGAGTAAAATTGCTGGTTTTAAGAGAACATATGCTTAACGTAGTTACACCGTAAAACTCGAAAACACAACACTTCGAATTAATTCACGAGTTGTTTAGCCTTTGTGTTTTCATCTCATGCAGAATTTTTCTCACTCTATTATGACACATTTACTTTAAAAAAAATGGTTAACATTATTCACAACAATCGAATGTTTCTGCCTAAAAGATATAACATGATGTATTTTTAATTAACAGGTGTAATGTGCAGGTAGAACAAAAAAAGAGGGAGATCGAAGATGTAGTTAACAGCGATTGCGTAATATGTTTATTACAAAGATTAAATATGATGGTTCTTTAATTTTTGCTTTATTTCGATTTGACTTACAATTAAAGAAATTTAATTTACTTTTAGCCCAAAGCTGTACTTGCTTTGGGAACAACGAACTGCCTATCACAATTGATGGGCGTTAACTAAGCCAAACAAATAAACTGAAATTTTTTTGACAGGATATTACAGCAACATATAGAAATCTTAGATACAAAAAGTATCATTAAAACAGCGGAAACAACAACAAAACCATGTTGTTGATTGACAAAAATATAGAAAACAAACAAAACTTACTTCATGCCTAATCTTTTTCATTTTAAATAATATTTTGTTTTCAATTACAAATTAACATAATATTCTTGTTTCTAAGTTGGCTTTCTTTAATTCTTTCAGCATTCTTAATTTTTTTTTTATTATTCCACGAGAATGAAGTACGCCGGTGGCTCAGCAGGAATCTTGAGGGCTTATAACGCTATGATCCTGGGCTCGATCCATGAGATGTCGCTGTGCACTTAGAATAAACACACACACACAAAGAGAAAAAAACAGAAATGAAGCAATTACTTGTTACAATTATTTTGGATAGGGCACATCAGAACAATATGCAAGACAGTTTTGAAAAAAGTTACCAATAAAAAACATAAAACGGAAACATATCAACAAAAGTAATGGCTGGAGACGGCTTGAATGGGTAATGAAGAAAAACTTTAATATAAGTTTAACATAACAGCAAATGTACAACGTTTCGACAAGGTTTTGTCATCATCATCGAATTTGAATATCAACAAAAGATTAAGCGAGAAGTCTTTCAGTGCGTCCTTGAATAAAGCTACAAAATGATTTCATTGGTTACTGTGGTATTTGTTGCTTGATTTTCGGGTTTTTCACAAAATGAGGAAAAATCACTGAATAAAACTTATTTTAACACAGCCCTGTTTCTATTGAAGTTTTAACTATTAAAGAAAACTACACTGATCAAACATACACATACATTTGCGTAAAATTGGTAGTTATATCCCGGTGACTGTTTTATCAAAGACGTATCATCTTAGCATAATATTATTATTTATTATTCTCAGATCTGTCATGAACCTGCTAGCGTGACTGGCACTATTTTGTTGATGACTATGTTTTTCATTTAGACGTTTGTATTGTTGTCTAGCCAAAAGGAGTTTTACATCACATGACGAACAAGTGCCCTAATTTCTGGACTTTTCTCAAGTTTTATAACAGTATCAGCAAAATATCACATAAATTAGGCTAGAGAAGGTGATTATCAATCTTTGATTATATTGGTAAGTTACACTGAGTTTAAACCTAGAGAGTTATTACTTGAATGAGAATGTTAGTTAAGACGAAGCACATAAAATACGAAATTAGCAAGTGGAATTTATGTTTAGACATTTTTATATGCGAAGTTAGGTTTAATGTTAGTTACGAGAAACTGTGGAACTTATACATCTTGATGTTGAAAAATAAGACTTTTGTTATAATTAAGAGAAATGGACTTTGCATTCTTACCGAACAATAAAAAAAATCCGTCCAATAACATACACTGTTACAACCATAGATTATACTTGTAGAAGATATTAGGATAGTTTTCTAATGCATATTATTTCAATATAGCACCTATTTTTTTGTGAAACGAAGTTTATATCACAGCTCTGATTACCTGGAAAGAAATAGGGTCACAAAAGTACTTCTTTTAATTTGAAAATAGGAAATTTAGAAAATTCTTGAATTGTGATGCACACCTAGTATCCCTCTGATCCAGGAATCACTAATAACACGTAGCAATAGCCAAAATTCAAGAACCATGCTGGTAAGTAAAACTGATAGTGGAGAGCATTGCGGAAACATATATACAAATTTACAAATAACATTTACTTATTTACATGTCAACAGGGTTAAATGTGTAAGCAAGTGAGACCGTACGAATTTTTTTGAAAAATGCAAGCTTCACTCCTTTTATAAAGATAACCTCCGAAAAAATAAATGAGATGAAAATATAACGGTATTGATATTACAATATAAGCAGTGCTTCTTAATGTTACAAAACGCATCAAAAAATTAAAAACACGACTTTATTCCACAAAATCAGAATGTGTGTGTGTTGCTATAGCAAAGCCACATCGGACAATCTGCTGTGTCCACCGAGGGAAATCGAACCCCTGATTTTAGCGTTGTAAATCCGAAGAATTTACCGCTGTCCCAGTGGGGGACAAAAAATCAGAAAGCTAAGCCAATTAGCAACAACGGATAAAAGTTACAACAAACTAATTTAATGCCCAAATAATTCTCTCACCAAGAAGACGTGGAAATAAGATACGTACAAGATGTTATTCTCATCACAAGTAGTTCGTGGAGTTGATCTATGACCACTGTAAACTGGCAAACCACGAAATGATATAATAATCAGACACAGCTACATTTGGGAAATTTTATACACTGTGAGTGCGTTATTGGTAGAGATCGACTTTTTATATTAAACCGAAAAGTTTTTGTAAAAGGACAGAATTGAGAACTTAATCTAAGATTCGATACACATTAGAACTTTTATAAGTAGGCCATTTCTTCCTATTATTAATTAACTAATGCCGTATTTCTACATGCGAGTAATATTATGAAGGGTTATTTAAAATGTTTACTTCTTTAATTTATACCAACAACAACAAAAAAGATTAATACGATTTTTAAAATGGGGGTCGATTACTCTTCTTTCGACATAACCATGGCCTCTAGAAATATAACATTTTCATGTGTATCCAAGCGCCAATGCACAAAGTTTGAAGGTGGTCCCTTAATAATGAACTTAGAACTTTGCTGGGATTTCAGTTCAGGGGAAGGGGTATGCCTTGAAAAATACCCCCCTCGAACATCTTTGAAAGCTGCCTTTTTCTGGCCCTGAATCCTGACGACTGTACCAACCTTGATACCTCTGTGCTGGACTTAACATAGGATTCAAATTCAAGAACTCTGGCCATTGCGTCCTGCATAGTAGAGGGGTGTGCTTGCTTCACTTGGATTTTCAGTTGTGGACTGTCCAAGGCATCTACAAACTGATCCCTCAGCAACAACTTGAGGAGATCGGGTGGTGCAGTTGGGTAGGCCTTGTGTGCCATACTTTCCAAGGTCTGTGCCAGCTCTTGCAGGCTCTTCCCTTTAGCACGGACTCTCGTCCTAAACCTAGCCCTGTAGATTTCAGACTGATTTTGGGTTCCGTACCTGACTT